TATATATATATATATATATATATATATATATATATATATATATATATATATATATATATATATATAAGTTAGAATCTTATTTTTTATTATGTTGCAGACAAATAGAATAAAAAATCGACTATCAAATAGAGATGGTCCATGTTTTAACTTGCATACAACTAATGAAACTGATTTAATAGTACAACGAAATCATGGTATAATTGATATATATAACACAAGTGAATCAAATCTACAATTAAAACTCGTGCAAATCTTTCACAATGAAAGAACGGTCCCTTTTCATTCTACGTAACTTTTAGTATCGGTTAATGACTATCTCGTAAGCGCAGGCGAATCAGAGTTAGTTTTAATGATTTCAGTTTTAATAATTATTTAATGAACGAATGAATGAACGAGCGAGCAAATAATTGGCAATTTCCGCAAATTGTCATGACCAGACACAAGGATTAAAAAGTTCGCGTTGCAGTTGGTGCTGGGGAAGCTGATGCGCCGACCGGCCAAGCTCGACCGGCAGCTCGCTCGTGATCTCAAGGCTCTGGCGCATCGCGACGATCCCTACGACACCGTGATCGGCAAGACCATGTGCACGAACGACTTCTACGAGGAACAGGGCCGACTGGACGGCGCGTTCTGCGAGTTCACGGAAAACGACAAGATGGAATATCTCACGAAGATGCACAAGGCCGGCGTGGTGAACATCGAGATGGAAAGCCTTTGTTTCGCCGCGTTGACACACCACGCCGGCATCCAGTCCGCCGTCGTGTGCGTGACATTATTGGACCGACTCAAAGGCGACCAGGTACATCCAATTTGCGTCTCGTTCTCGATACGGCCGGCCTCGCAATGGGATACGGGCGTGTAATGGAAACTCAGTCAGGTCGACGCAAAGGGCAGCTTGACATAAGGGTCATGTTAACATTGGAACGCCAGGCCCTTATATTTGATCGTCTTAAATAAGGATTGTTCGATTTCGAATCGGTTTTCTCTTAACAAATCTCGATCACTTTCAATCGATTCTTACATGATTCGATTCTTTTAACAATAAATCGATTTTCCATTCGTCATATATAAAAAATCTATAGCCGAGAGTCGGATCTTACATTTAAGGCCATTTTAAGTTCATCTTCAGGTGCTGTACGGCTTATTTGAATGGTTACGAAACATCTGAAGATGAACTTAAGACAGCCTTATAGCATATTCGATTGAATCTGAGTTATTAAATTCATTAGTCGAATATTTTCGTATAAATTTTGTGATTAACTCGTAGAGTTTTGTGACGTCATTAATCGATCCTAACACCAATCGAATATGCTATTAAATATATGATTCGACTATGAATATCATTCCCAATTTTTGGGTTTCCTACAATAAGCCATTAATTATAACCTGTAACCAACCACAGTTGATGATTTTTTTTCACGGTCCAGAAGTATTTTTGATACATTATCTTGTCGTACTGATTTCGGTATTACAACTTCGGGAAAATGAGTGTCTGTCAATGTGGTGAATGTACGAGTAGAATTTAACGCTGATAATCGCGACTTGATCGGTCCGCCTAATCGATCTCGATTTCTGCAAAGGTCATGGCGCCCAAGGAAGTGTTGGACGAGTGGCAGATGCGACCGCAGCAACTGATCGCCCGTTACATCACCACGTACCTGCAGAGGAAGGGTCGCCTGTCGTTGGAGGGCCACGGCTCTATGTGCGTGAAGAGCCCGCGTCGGTACAAGCTGGTGCAGCAGGAGTCCGAGAACTACGACTAAGGCGCTGTCGACGAGAGCGACTCGCTTTATGCCGGAGAACGAGGACGGACCTAATCGGAGAAGTCTCACCTCGAGCCGGCTTTCAAGAAGGTCGGCGGCAACTCTGCTCGATTGCCGCGTCGACCTGCATTCGCTCACTGATCCCCGAGCGAGGAAAAGTGGCGGTTCAAGGGCGAGCTTGAATAGAATCGGGAAAAAAAGGATACTTTCTTTTCTTTTTCTAACCACTGGGCACACATTCGAGCAAATTGTCACGTTGTATCATGCGTAATAATAATAATAATGGAAGATCTCGTCGTCTCTCCCCCTCTCTCTCTCCCTCTCTCTCTCTCTCTCTCGGCTTGATCAGGCTCAAAAGAGAATAAAAAGACGAGAGAGAAGAGAGACAGAGGTGTTCTGTAATTCCTCAGAAACGCGAGAGGCACTCTCGAGTTCTCCTCACCGCCTCCATTCCGCGCGGTGACCCAAGTACAAAAGCGTGCGGACACTTACGAGCCGACGAGAGGCAGCTGCACGCGCATCTTCCGCGAACACATATCCTCCGGGTTCGGTCGCACCGGCTCTTCGATCGATCGTTTCGCGAATCATAACAGCCTGGACGAAATCTGATCTGCAATACCGCCTCTCTCTCCGACGACACTAGCAGCCGAGCCGAGGTCGATCAATTTCTCGAAGCGGTCAATAAACTTCTCGTCGCGTAACAGCGGCATGATCGCGAAGGGGAGAGGAGGCATCGATCACAGAGCGAGCTGTTGTTGTCCGGTGCAACCGGGATTCACGCTCACTCGTGTAGCTTCACAAGTAGAGATGCTCAACCTTAGAGAGGATCCTGCATATTGACATAATGCAGCTTCGTATTTCGCACCGTTCCGTGCAATTTGGTCGTGTGGAATCGCAGATGCCTGTACAGGGTGAAAGTACAAACCAGTACTTTCATTCTGTACAAATAGAAAGAAAACATTGCACCGTTCGAAAGCTACGTTACCGTCAGTATCCAGCGTCCTCTTAAAGATTCGCCCGTTAAAACGCCGATTGAAACGCACCACGCGAGCGCGGAAGTATTTTTCTTTCTCTCCCCGTGATATCTCGACTCAACACGAGCGCGCGAGCGATGATCGTCGTCGTCGTCGTCTCATGGATCTTCAGGGATTTGTATTGAGAAAAATTATTAGACGAAATCCGCTAACGGACCTATCACGCGGTTTATTACGAGAGGCGTTTTTGCGTTTGTATCGATGGGGATTCGGAGAAGGTATGCGTGTGTGTATATGCGTGTATGTGTGTGTGTGCGTGTATGCAAAAATTTCGTCGCTCGCGCGCACGCCGGCTGCGACGAAGATTCACGATCTCGCGCGGCAGCGGCGATACGACGGCAAGTCTATGTCTAATTAGCACTCTCTTATAGCGGTTCGATAGCACATTCCGTGTAGTATATGTAGATGAGGAATTAGCGCGCTTTCGTTCGTTCAATCGTTAAGGTAAAAGTACCAGTGCCTGGACACGTACCTAGCGTGTACCTAATTCTAGACATGCTTGTTATTTTAGTTTTAAAATATTGAAATATTCAAATTTTCAATATAGAATATATATATATATATATTCTATATTGAAAATTATATATATATATATTCTATATTGAAAATTATATATATATATATATATATATATATATATATTCTATATTGAAAATTATATATATATATATATATATATTGAAAATTATATATATATATATATATATTAACGAATATATATATATATTAACGAATATATATATATTAACGAATATATCAACCTTAAATACGAATTTTTAATCTTCAAACATAAAATATTTGTATATATATATATATATATAT